AGACTTCAGTGTAATGGACCTGTGTCCTCTCGGTTATATTGCAGGATAAGAAAGCTTTCTCAGGGCAGTGGCAGGGAGGTGGGGAATGCAGTTTGCTGAAAGAGTTTTATGGGAAGAGAATCTTACATGTTTACAGTACAAAATCAGATTTGTTAACTCTGTTGCTGGCAGGAGTTTGTAAATCTAAGTACAGTAAGAAAGCTCGTAGCCAAAACCTTGTTTTCTTTAGTGTTTTAGCACAAGATCAAAGCAGATAAACAAACACAGTACTTTGGGTTTGTGTTGTGGCTGTATTTAGGCTACCAGCATTTTTTCTTCTAAGTCAAATACTCAGAAAGTGATTGCTTGGAGTAGAAACCTGATGAAACATTTTAAATAAAAATCTCTCTGAAGAAATGTTCACTTTGCATAAAAACCTGAAATACCACTGTATACATATTTTAGGAAAGAATTCCCTTTTTTTTATTGCTAAGCTCTAAAATAATTCTTTAAAAAAAATTTCCCAAGCAGCACAAGATTTTGGCTTATTTTAAAAATGCAGCAGGTTGAATCCTCTAAGAAGTTGGCTTCAGCTTGATGACTTTCTTGAAAGAATTATTATTTTTGACCTTTTTAATCTTGTTTTTTCTTTTATTCTGGCAGCTCAAGTAAATCATCTTAATTCTAATAAATAGTATTGAAACAATGCTTAAGTGATACTTTTTCATTTAAATTATAAAACTCCATCTAAAGTCCTACTTTGCCAATCTAGAATATCCATATTCTACATTATAATATGCAATTTGTGTGACTCCTTCATCCAATATTTACCAAAGAAAAAAAGCAGTGAGATTCAATATTAGTGACTATTTTTAGTTATATAACAAATATAACTAGATTTAAGTCACATTTGCCAAAACAGACAGATCCGTACTGGGATACATGATGCACTATATTTTTGAGTTCATCTATTTACTACTGATGCGAATGTATAAATGTGTGCAGTTGCAATGGTGTTCAGTTGGACACAATTAACGAAACTCTTTGAAAGGCCCAGATTTCCTGTCCATTCAGAATCAATAATCATCTCTAAGCGGTGATTTTAGTCTAGCACTAAAGAGTGTACTTTCTATTCAGTCCACCTCCATACCACTCCTTCACAAAATATCCCTATTTCGTGCACATGAATTAAAAAAGAACCAGAAGTCTGTGTCTTCTAAAAGAAATGTCCACCCACAGCCTCTTGACTTGGCAGTAAGCAGTCAGGCTGGCACCTCCTGCTCTAGGACAGAACTGTCTTTATCAGTGAAACAATAATCTAAGACACTAATAAGAAAACACACACCCCCTCCCATACACAATCACAAACACGTATGTACATTAATAAATGTACAAAAATATGAGCTACCTTTCTTCTAGGAGTTTTGCAAGTTTTGGTTTTAGTAATTTCCATTTTATAATATACATTTATACCCCTATTGACGAGTAGGAAATATATTAGAAGATAGGCCACAGGAAAAGTGAGAGACTGTATCAAATCCTAAAATTCCATCTAAGAAATGTTCTATATTGGATGCTATTTTCCTCAGGAATTCAGTATTAATATATATCCCCAGGGCCAGAATATGCTAGGAGAATCTTGGAAGAAACCAAAATGTTATCAATGTTACTGCTACTATTATAAAATATATATTTATATATAGCTTTAGACGAGCTGTTTTTTAAAATATGTGGACTCATGCACAAAAGGCTTTTTTAATAACTGGGATATTTTATTTCTGGATAAAAATAATTTGAAACATGTAATGTATTTTTCTAAGCATCAAAACATTACTTGATATGTAATTAACAGTCTCCTAAATCATCACGAGACAATTTAGCTACCTAGATGTTCCCTCTTTTGCCATCCTCAACTTGACCCATAAAAACCAGTTACCTCTTACCCAAATCTTACGCCATTTGAGAGACAGTGAAATTAGCTTTTTATTTTTGTGTCTAATGCAACACAAGAATTACAAGCTGAAACTGGAAGAAAGAACTTCCAGATACGAATAAGTGATAAAAGAAGAAAAAAAGTATTATTTTTTGTGGATAGCTTGGAAATATATTGACATTGACAGTGTCTTTTTAAAAAAAAAATTCTTTCTTTTATAAATTTTTGCATTTGTTTTTTCATACGTATCTTTTCTCTTCTTCATTAATGTATGATGTAATATTTGATACGCAGGAAAACTACATTTAGAGTTAGGAAGAGACGTGTTCTTTGGGCTTAAAGATACAGACATGTAGGG